ACGTACTGACGTACATACACACATAACACACGTATATACAGATTATATACATAGCATATCTTTTGTGCGAATTTTGGCGACGACTGGCTTAATAATTTATTATAATATTATTACATTGTACGAACATGAGACCGTGTATGTGTGTGTGTGTGTGTGTGTGTATATATATATATATACACACACACACATATACATATAAAACACGCAATGCAGACTTCTCTGCCTGTGCAAACCTCCCTTTTCCATCGTAGGCATGTGCTTAGCGTATTTTGTATGGAAAATGCAAGGTTTCGAGAAGTTAAGTATTTTGTATAATGATCAGGCACTCGTTATATGTCTCCATGCTCGTTCATTCGCATCTGTGTACTTTGTAATTCGCCTTAATTCGCGTTGAGCGTTAAGCACGTTACCGGCGCTTTGGGTGCCTTTGTCGCCTTTACGAATTCACGCGATGTCGAATAGTATATCTCTCTGTATCATTCTCTCTCGATGAAAATGTAAATTTTATTATCGACATGTTGATACGAAATTTTTGCAAAAGACGTGTAATTTTACACGTAATAAGGAAGAGCTTGTGTAGAAAAAACGTTAGAGTCGGGTCGACCCGGATTGAAATGGATGATGGTTCGGTTGGTATTTAATCATCGCTCGGATTAAAAAGAAATTTTCAAGCGTCCTCATTGTAAAATAATCTATCTTTGGTATCATTCTAACGCGTGCAAATCACGAAGATCGATTTAAATTATTGAAGCAGTATTTGGAAAATCGATCTTTATGTGGACGAGAATGAGCGTAAAATTGGTCGCGATACATTATTCATCATAAAAGGGTCTCGAGCAATGATTTGTACATAAAAATAAAAAGGAAAAATGTTCGATAAGCCAAATATTTAGTAAAGAAAGAAGTTAAATTGTTAGTCTTCGCAACAACGGAGACTTAAGAATAATTCTCGTCGCGGTCAACGAATAATTGCATTATATGGATGATAATTGCATTACCATCATCCATCGTTCAGCTCGATTTAGCTTTGTGCTTGCGTAGCCAATTGTTTCTTCGGGTACCCGCTGAAAGCTCTTCCTTCCCGTTAAGCACGAGTAATTAATCCCAACTGATTGACTGAATATTATTTTTTTATTGCGAAATATAATATGATAAGACGAGATATTGACAGATGACAATGAAATTGTAATCGCGCGGATGTATATTTTGCACAGAACGCGACGGCGAATCGCGAGGCTACGATCAGTCGAAAAATAATCTTATTGTAAACTATTATTAAATTTATATCGCGATGTTCTCGTGTGTCCCACGTGGGAAATGGACGTGCGAATGTAACTGGAATACACAGCCAGGCTCAAATAATGTGCCAAAAAAAAGAGATTTACCTAAATACCCCCATAGGTGTAAAGAATATAGGTAATCGATTTGTTCCTTTCGAACTTGTGCATTCCATTGTGAAAAATCATTGAATGTCTTGAACAAGAATGCAGAACAAATTTTATGTAAATATACTTTGTATATCTTTGGCCACACGCGCGCGCGGGACATTTCTGTTTTTTACATTGAGAGGAAATGCCTTATATGTTACTTACATACAATCGTTGAAGTGAGTGATTTTATATGAAAAATACAATAGCATTTTTATTTTACTTTTATAGCTTTGTATTCGAAACGAGGATTTGAAAATTGGAAGATTAGTAAGATCTCTTTCCTCATGTCCATAATGGAGTCGCGACACGTAATTCATCAGAATATGAATATTTAAAAATACGTAAAGTATTGTGTATCCTTTACTCATATTTGATAACGTTAAATGATTTATATCGATGCAAATTATACCGAATCTTGAAATGATAAGACGCATTATTAATTTTCCGATTTTTAAAATCCATTTTAAATCAGAATTTTTCAAAGCAGAATATCGCGTAAGATAATTCTCCTTTTGATTCATTTTCTTATTTGAAATCACCTTTTCCCAGTTGTACCGTTATAATAACGGAACGCTCTGTAAATGTTCGCGCCCTTATCCATGGCACGCGCGATTCAATTCACATATTTTGGTTACACCGATGCCAGGAAAAAAAAGGAACAAACTTTTTGCGGTGATGATTGATGAAAGAGCGAGTGGGACACGCGAGGATTCCGCGGCACCGATTAAAGGATTAATCAGAAAAACCGAGGTGGAACCGTGCGAAATGTAGCAATAGCGAGAAATTACTTTTGTATTTATGATGTATGCGTAAGTTAATTCGGGCTAAGGCCAGCAGCTGTTGAGATTATTCAAGGTTGTGTGTATCATAAGTTTGAATTGTTGAATAGTAATAGTGTAAATGGACATTATTAGGCGTTGCACGATGCGGCCGCGCCAGGAGGAACGGAGGTACCTGCGAAAGTGTCATCGTTACTATTGGCGCGGCTACTTCGTCTCCCGAATATTCGGATCAGACTCCTTTCTCTCATCACGGTATTCATCTTGTACGATCGACTTTTATTTTTACCTGCTGTTTTTTTATTTTAACGGATGTATCACGGACTGGCCTTTTTTTGCGCAGACACACGCCAGCCTGTTACACGCGGATATACAGAACACGTCCTGTAAAAGACGTATATCAGTGGCGCTAATTGAAAAACTTCGCGTTATTGGTATACATCTTTTAAGAAATCATGAAAGCGTATGTAGGGCGAAGCTGAATCTTCTTTCGATAAACTTCCGAGAACGATGTTCACAAAATATGACAGGATAAATGTAGATAAAATGGATAATTACAGTCGAAATCGTAATTATCTGCCTTGAAATAAATCAGATAGACTTGTATGATTGTGTGACATTGTAAATTATCCTCTTTCTTGAATCAGTGCCAAGAAAATACATGTAATATCGCATTTTAAATACGAGAAAGACACACGAAGTTCCAAGAACTCACGTACCTGAAAGACTCAAAGTCCAGATGAATAAAAACAAACCGATAAGGATGTGTCATTTCAAAAATCGTATTCTTTGTCGATACGATGAGAGATTTAATAGGCATATTTGTGCCGTCCATATACCCGCGACTTCATATATAATTCTACGTTACACGCGAAAGATAACGAATAGCAAAGAGAACGATTGCTGTCATTTATGCAGTTGTAAATAATAAACGTTTTTATTTATTTGGGTTAATGCGCCAGCAATCTTTGTAAAAATATCTTTTGTACCACGTAGAAATTTGCGAATCGATTAGACTATAAATGTCATTTATATCCTCCGTAAAAGTTTGTCGTTCGAGTTTGGCTTCACCATGTATACGCAGATGCTTACATGTAAACTCTTGTTTAATTTATGAATATCAACACAACGCACTTTACGCGATTTCTCTTCCATGACGAGTGTACCTAATTATTTACTTACGGGTTTTATGAATCATCAAATTGCGTTATTTCCTTCCTTTCTTCTTCTTACCTCCTTCCCTTCTTTTATCTTTTTTCTTTCTCCCTTATTATCTCATTCTATAAATTAGCTCAAGTCAAGAGCGCATAATAAATATTGCTCTATTTCCTTTTTTACCTTTCCCCTCTCTTTCCTCTTCCATCTCTCTTTTCTTCCTAAGTTTTTATATATCATAACGGTAGGCGATAACGCTGTTAGACGTTTTAAGGTATATTTATTGGGCTGCTATGTGATTTGTTGGAAATTATTTTGAGAGAACTTTTTTTAATTCGGAGAGTGGAAGTGCCCGGAGGTGCAGCTGCAACGCCGGCGGCCTTAGGAATAATGCAATGCGATGCGATGCGATATGATTACGATATGATACGATATGATATGATATGATTCGATGCGACGTTTGTTGCGCACACGCGTTTGTATTTAATACGACTATTTTGCGAGATTAGGTTTGTGCAACAGCGTGTGACAACAGACGGGAGTGATGTGGGCAAAGGACCAAAATGTATAATTCGCATTCGCCGATCTAAAACTTCTTATGATTGGCGTATTCACATCCATTTTTATATGCGATGCATTAATAAGCATCAAAGAGTCTCCTTTATCCACAATCTGGATGGAACAACTCTCGAGGCATCTTGTACTTGCAAGGGCATTGTTGTGATACCACAGATGCAGCTTCATTGAAACTTGAATAAAAAAGTAATGCGTTAACAAAATGAGTGTTTAGTCATTTTCGACCTCCAAAACTTTAATTTATGGAAATAGAAATAGTCATAACCTTGACATATATTGTCAAAAGCTCATGATCCTGAATAACATTTAAAAGGTTTTAGTTATTGTTTGAACATCTCGGATAATGCTAATGCCAACGGTACTGTAATTTTCAAGCTTTATAACTCGAAATTTACTTAATCAAACAATACTTTATTGTAGTGCTTTGGAAAGCTCTTGACATCTGCTATTAGATTCTGTAATAGATCAATAGAGATGGTAAAAGAAAAAATAGAGTATTTCATTTAAAAAATTGATATGACTTTGACCTGACCTTAATAACACCACCCAAATTCACAATAATATTGCTATTAAAAATCGTCTGAGTACTTCCACGACGGATAGCAGCAATAGTCCTCGTCACCTATAACGACTCGAACATTTAGTCCTGCACTCTTAAGAATTGAGCTATTATTTATTAAAGCAGCGCCTACATCAGCTTCCATTGCCTTTGCGCTTGAGAATTTATAAAAAATGAAATTATTTTAACTGTTAAATGAATTAAAATTGATAAACAAATAGAAAATGATTTGAAAATTAAAAAAATTAAAAATTTACATTTATTTTGAAATAAATTTAAATTAATAAAATTAAAATAAATTTCTATTCATTTATTTTAGTTTGTGTTTGCAATTCTGTGATGCTCTCAATTATATCATGACTTCAAAGAAAAGGAGGGACTAACCCGATGACACTATACCCTGTGATATCTCTGCCACGTCTTGTACGAATCAGTGTTAATAGAAGAGATGTGGAACTATCACTAAAAAGTACATGTGGAACGCGCAAGTATATCATCTAGGCGACAGTTGCATGCATGCATCGTAAGGGAAAACTAGGCCGAAAGAGGAAGGCAGTTTAAATAAGGTAGTCTAGCAAAGGGAAGAGAAGAGATAGTACACGTTTGATTTATCTCCATTAATTATATATTAATCTGAAGAATAATTGATGTTGAGTGTTTAAAAAAAGAGAAATAAAGACAACATTTAAAAAGGAGAAAATCAGTAGAAGAATAGGATGAGACGGGTCGATCTCACATCATTACGAAAATCCTGTAATCGTGAACTTGGTGCTTCGTATTTCTGGTGATTCTCAAATCACGAGCACGTGCGTGTATACGAGACGTACCGGAAAATTAGTAAAAATATGTTTTGACAACGCGAGAAGATATCATGCGGCCACTGGATCAAGTGAGAGGGCAATGGAGAACCCTGCGATTCTCGTGGACGTGGTTCATGCTACTCGCACGTTCGCTATTTTTATTAATGTTTATCATATTTGGTTTGCAGCAAAATGTGGTGGATGCTGCACTGCGAGATGCAGGTAAGATTTCAGAATCTCAATATTTATTTTTTTTGCGCGTCAAAGTTTTGTTGTAAAATGAAATTTCTCTTGCTTGATGCTTCGCAGAAGTTGCGCTTAAAAATTTGCTTTTAAATGTTACTTGGATCATGGTTACATTGATCTTATTTTATATAGATCTTATTTTAATGTAGTTAAAATATTGATATAGAAGTTATTCAGTTTCTTATAATAAACTGTTACGTGTTAAAAAACAAGCTGAATAAATGGAACAACAATTAACTTCGATAAGGTAAAATTACTTTTTTGTGTTCGTACTCTGTAATTCATAAGATATTCAGTGAGTTCAACTCAGTCTACCTGAAAGAGAGAGAGAGAGAGAGAGAGAGAGAGAGAGAGAGAGAGAGAGATTGATCTTTGTTTAGCTACCGTAGCTACATTTTAAGTGTAAACTATAAAGTATTACTTAATCTTACGACTACTGTACGATTTCGAAATTTAATACTTCTATTATTGCACTAACTCTCTTTCATTGCCTCTAATGTAAGGCACTAACGCTCTCCTAAAATTATGCAATCTTAGCTCTTTTTTATTTTGTTGGATAACTTATTATATATTTTGAATTCAGCGTATAATAACATTTTTTGCTCCTCTCTTGTCTTACATCTACTTACAAGTAAAGTACCTCTTTGTCTAGTTTATACTCCTCCCTCACTTCCCACTAAATCTATTTTATTCTTTAAGTAATTCGGACATTCTTCAATTACCTCTTGTGTATAAATATATTGCATATGAATTATACATAATTCTTTGTTTGACTGACATAAATTGCAGTGCCTCCAACATGTCCTTAATAATTCTTACTCTAATATTGCAACGTAATATAATTCTCATACCCTTATTTTGCAATTTTTGTAGGTATTGCATATTAGTATCATTCAAGCATAATAACATAGTCGAGCAATATTCAAATAACGGAGCAACTATTACCTTGTATACTATATATGGTATCAAATTTGCGCTAGTCCGTCGCAGCACTCCTAGTTTCGATCCAATTTTGTTTTCAAGATAACTTTCATGTGCTGTAAAATTTATATTATTATCTATTATAATGCCTAAATATTTAATTTCATTAATTACTTCTAATATTGCATTTTTGAATTTTATTTTTATATTACTTTCTATTACCTTTTTTCTTACGCCTCTTACTAGCATAACTTTGGTTTTATTTATATTTAATTATAATTTATTAATTTCCAATCATTTCTGATTCTTTCTATTTGTTCATTTAGATTATCATTTATCTCTTGGCTTGAATACCCTGTTGTATATACTAATGCATCGTCTGCAAATAATCTAATTACACAATTGCCACAAACAGTCTTTATTAAGTCGTTTATATAGAGCAAAAACAGTAACGGTCCCAATACCGACCCTTGTGGGACTCCCAAATATATGGTAATAGGATCTGATAAGATTCCATTAAATTTTATTTATTTCTTTGTGATGTATCTTTCAAGTAACTCTTAAACCAGCTACAATTCCTTTTACTCCATATCACTCCATTTTCTTTAGCAAAATATCCCTATCTACCAATTCAAATGCTCTTCTTAAATCTAAAAATACAACTCCTATCATTTTTCCTTCACCTATACTCTTTTTCCAGTCTGATACAACCCAAGGCTGTCTCACATGAATGCTTCGCTCTAAACCCCGATTGACACTCCTCCAATAGATTATTATTTTCCAAATATTCCACTAATTGATTGTAAACTATTATTTTTAATATTTTCTCTTAAATCGGTAATTTGTTTATTGGCCTGAATTCTTCAATCTTTTTCGTTTTTATATCGTTGGTATTGGAACTACTATTGCTTCTTTCCATTGACTTGGAAAAATTTCTTCTTGTAACGATCTATCTAATACGTAGCATATTTTTGCACCTGCTACCATTATTACTTTTTTCATTACTTCCACAGTTATCCCTTCCTCAGTGCCACTCTTGTTTTCTAATTTACAGATTATACGGTTTAATTTTTCTACATCTATTTCACTACCTGGAAAAAAAAGTTCCATATATAATTATA